TGAGGGTCAAAACGTTCTCCTTTCACCCCAGAGTGGCGTTCCGCGGGTCAGAGTGGAGGTTCATTCACAGGGAGTATGGGGAAAGCTGCCCACACAGTATCTCTTCACTGGTTAGGCTGAGGATTTTAGGCTTCAGCATCTGAAAAAGGATCTTCCACTGCTGCTCAATAGGGATGTGAACGACTAGTCGGCTATCCGATAAGCAAATGCATATCGGATAGTCGGCGTGCGAGTCGACTAGTCCCTTCCCGCTCTCCCTTGATGCCTCTATCAGAAAGAGGCAGCGAGAAGGGGGAAGATGAGTGAGTACTTCAAAGCGCTGCTGTTTTGAAACACCATGTGCAGCCTGGGGCCAGCTGGGGTGTCCCCAGGCTGCATGTCCCCGGGCTGCACGTGGCGTTTCAAAGTGGCAGTGCCGCATGGAGCCCGGGGGCAGGTGTCCCAGCTGATCCCAGGTTCCACATGGCGCTGCCACTTTGAAACGCCGTGAGGAGCACGGGGCCAGCGGGGGACTGCTCCACTGGCCCCGTGCTCTCCACAGCACTTTTGCCTTTCAAGTGTAGCAACAACCCTGGGGTTGTTTACGTGAGGATTCCCTGTTGTGTTTCCTCCCTCTGGGGCACCTGGCATTGGCCACTGTCAGCAGACAGGACACTGGGCTAGATGGACCTTTGGTCTGACCCAGTACGGCCACTCTTACGTTCTTATCCCCTGCAATTTTGCTTACCGCTGTGAGGGCCAAAGAGCTGTCGTGGGCATCCAAGGCGATTACAAAGGGCACCCAGAAGTGCTGATCAGTGACCAATGCCTGGAGCAGCACACGGGGCAGCGAATGTCGCTTATATGGCTAGTGGAGGGTTTGCCTGCATTGGGGAATTGCTGTGTGGCCTAGAGCCGTCTAAGAGCTCTGTACCTGTGAGGGAGGCATTGCTGGGGAAGAGACAGTGTAGCAGGAACACTGCTGGGCTTTGCTGAAATAGCCCTTGGGGGATATTGGCAGCCAGGTATTGCTGTTCTAAGATATACCAGGAGCTGAGGCAGAGCCTGGTTGGCCCTAGAATCAGGAAATCGCAGCTCCCACCTCTCTGCTTCTTGGCTGGACCAGAGAATCTGCATCCGTTTCTGTAGCTCTCAAAGGTTCTCCAGTTTGCTTATGGTGGGGCTTATGGATCACGTACAGGGTTCCTGCAAACGTTGCTTTCCAGAGGACTGTTTCTAGTCCCACTCCGGTAGGGTCTATTAGGACCATGAATGACAGATTTCAAGGGCCGGTTCTGCTTACCAATCGTGCAAGACGTGTGTTTGTGCTTAACCATGCAGGAAGGCCACACACGGACCATCCAGACGCTGTTGTCCCTCGGCGCTGATCTGCAGGCAACGGAGGGGCGGAGTCGATCTGGTAGGTTGGCCGGTGGTGGCAGTTTCTAGAGTCTGAGTTCTGCGGTGGGCACTTTTGCAGGTCGCACGTGCCTGGCACGATGGCAGCACGGCATTCAGTGCCTCATTTGCAGCCAGTGCTAGAGGCGTGACTTGAAAATGGGATTTGGAGGCGCAGCGAGTCACCGCAGGAATTGCACTGAGTTGGCCAGGCCATCTGTGCACGATAATAAATGAACCCCCCTTCGGATTAGCGCTTCTAGCCATTACATGGTTTCAACGCGGCCAAAATGGGCACCTTCTGGGTTCTCCCGAGGGATTGGGGTGGTATAAATACTTGTTTTCAGAGTCCTCATCAGCCAGCCAGCTAGTCAATCTCTCTCTCTCTCCCACCCACGGACTCTCCTTTTCTCCCAGTCTGCGCTATCGATCAGGTGAGCTCAGGCTCCGATACTCTCACCTCTTCCAGGACAAGTGGTACAGGGCACCTGGCCAGCAGCATTTTTATCTCCACCCCCTCGAGTCAGCAACTCTGGCTCATCCCCGCCCTCTGCATCCTACTGTGTTCGTACGGGCACCTGCCAGCTTCGTTTGGCCCTCCGTCCCACACTGCCTCAGCCATGTGTGCGAGGGGCAGAGTGCTGCGGGTGTCTGTGGTGAATCCGCCTGTACAGAGAGCTGTGTGGTGCAGAGCGTCTCTTGCACGAGACCGAACGGCCTCGATTCCCGGTTGATTTCAGAGCGAATGGAAGCTGCCAGGCATCCTGCTCTTGGCAGGATTGGGCTGCGAAAGGAGGCAGGCGGACGGGCCACGCTAGTGGTCCAGACTCAGTGCAGCCAGAACTGCCTCCTGGCACAACCGCCGGTGCTAACCTAGTTGACACAAGGTGCATTGTACGGTTAGGGACTGTGTGTCAGAGCAGCAACAAATCCTACAGCGGCATAGCTCCACTGAAGCCAATGGAGCTGCTAGACATCAGCGTACACCCACTGCGGATCTGACCCTTTGTACTCCGTGGTTTCCATGGAGACCATTACACGGCCTAGCCGCACACACGGTACCAATCTCCTTTCCTCTTCAAGGCTCGCAGGGCCGGATTCTCTACTTTGTTGGGGCCCATCTCCTGTTAAAGTGGCAGCTATCGATGTGAAGGGTCTTGGATTGTCCTTCTTCCCAGAGACCATGCACAGGGATTCAGTGGATGGTGCTTTCTTTCAACATGGCCACTCCTTGCAGCGCAAAACAAACCGAAACAATCTTATTTAATCTTCCTGGGTATGTCTACACTTGCACCCTCCTTCGAGAGAGGGATGCCAATGAAGACATTCGAAATTGCAAATGAAGCTGGGATTTAAATATCCCGTGCTTCATTTGCATATTCGCGGTATGGCGCTATTTCGAAATAACAGACGCCGTTAAGACGCGGTTATTTTGAGAGAAAACCCTTCTCTTGAAATAACCCTTATTCCTCATGCAATGAGGTTTACCGGTTATTTCGAGAGAAGGGATTTCTCTCGAAATAACCACGTCTTAACAGTGTGTTATTTCGAAATAGCGCTATAACGTGAATATGCAAATGAAGCACGGGATATTTAAATCCTGGCTTCATTTGCAATTTCGAATGTCTTCATTTGCATCCCTCTCTCGAAAGAGGGTGGAAGCGTAGACATACCCCCCGTTGTCTGCATGGAGGCAGTGGGATGTTTCCAGGCCCACCGCTGCAGATTGTAGGGCCTGAGGGCATGCAATAACTGGAAAAGGAGGTGCGGTCATTGTTCCCCTAGGCTCAGTTTTCTCCTTTGGCTGGGTGTCTGGCATTTGCGTCGCCTGTGAAATACGCATCCCAGTGTGCAGGTTTCATTGCCTTGTCAACCTCCTGTCTCCTCACAGCCCTGCACATGGCCTGTGCGGGCCAGCACGCGGCCTGCGTGGGGATTCTCCTGCAGGCTGGATTGCAGGACTCGCCAGACGACACGGGAACGTTTGCCCGGCAGCTTGCCAAGAAACCCAGCGTCCTACAGCTTTTCGAGGGGATCAATGTTCCTGCATGAGCCCGCGGAGGAGAGAATAAACGTTTGTTTTCCAAATCACTGTTTTGTGTTGTGCACTAGGTATAAGTATGAACAAAGGGCCAAATCCCCCCTCCCCCCACACACACACACTCTCTCTCTCTCCCTCCACAAAGCTGGAGCACACAAAAGCTACTAGCCTGGCCTCCCCCCACCCCTAGAGATGTCTAGGTGGGGAATATGGGGTGTGCCTTTCAGGGGCCACGTCAGTGCAGGTTTGGGTTGGAGCTTTGGGGGGGATTGTTTTTTTTTCTTGGGGTTTTGTTTTGTTGCTTCTCACTTGTGTGCAGCCCCCAACTGTTTTTTTCTGTGGGTCAGCGGCCCAGATCCAAAAAAGGTTCCCCACTCCTAGTATAGGACTTTAACGGGGTTCAAAAAAGAGCTAGATCGATTCATGGAGGTTAGGTCCATCAATGGCTATTCGCCGGAATGGATAGGACGGTGTCCCTCACCTCTGTTTGCCTGGAAATGGGTGACAGGGGAGGGATCACGTGAGGATTACCCGTTCTGTTCCCTCCCTCTGGGGCACTTGTTATTGGCCACTGTGGGCAGACAGGATACTGGGCTGGATGGACCTTTGGTCTGACCCAGTGTGGCTGTTCTAATGGTATAATCGGTACGTAGTGCTCCATCATTGTCGGAAGGCTCTCTACCAGTCCCTGCACCAGCTGCTTGGGTTTTAGCTTGGGTTGCACACATTTAGGCCTGGTCTATACAAGGAAATTATGTCAGGATAACTCTGTCTCTGAAAAAGCCACATCCCTGAGCAATGGATTTCAACTGACTTGGTGTAGACAGCACTAGGTTGAGGGTCGAATTCTCCCATTGACCGAGCTGCCTTTTTTTGGGGAAGTGGAGTCCCTTAACTGGTGGGAGAACCCCTCCCATCGTGGCAGGTAGCAGTTTCACGGAATTGCTACAGTGGCACCCCTGCTGTGTTTCCAAATCTTAATAGGAGCCATTGGACAGCACCGCCATGTAAATGTTTAATAACAATAGTGCTACAATGGGGTGGCTGATTGCGACCCTGTGTGAAACGAGCAGGCGGGACCATGCCCATTACTAGTGGAACAGTCCAAAACCACTGCCATCATTGGCTGCTGTTCATGCAAGCCAAAGGGTGGCCGAGAAATCGATTGGCTTTCCCCCATCATGGGGTGGGTAGCCCGTCCCCCCTGAGAGACCGGGTGGGGCACCTCACCCCATCATCTAGCCCCAGCTATAGCCTCTCTTGCTGGGCATTATGGCTCAGTGGCCTAGTCTGTAGCACCCTCAGTCAGTACGGCCTAGTGGCCTAGTCTCTAGCAATCCCAGTTAGCGGGGTTGTAAGGGCCAACGGCCAAGTTTATAGCATCCCAGACAGCAGGGCAGTACGGCCTAGTGGCCCAGTCTATAGCACCCCTGTCTGTGGACAGTACGGCCCTGAGGCCAAGTCTCGAACACCCCGGTCTGTGGGGCAGTAAGGCCTCATGGCCAAGTCTATAGCACCCCCAGTCCACGGGGCAGTAAGGCCCAGTGGGTAAGTCTTGAACACCCTGGTCTGTGGGGCAGTAAGTTCCCGTGGCCAAGTCTATAGCACTCTCAGTCCACAGGGCAGTAGCAAGGCCCAGTGGCCAAGTCTCGAACACCCCAGTCCACGGGGCAGTAAGGCCCAGTGACTAAGTCTCTATTGTGCTAAGTTTTCTCCCCCCTCTGGGGGTCAAGGGAGGTGGGCTTGTGGGGGGGGGGGCAGGCCCTCCCTCTCCACTGTGTCCCAGCCCAGGGCCCTGTCAGGGGCAGGCATATCCCACCACTGGCTCAGTGGGGAATCTGCCCAAAACATGCCCAGCTCGCTGGGAGGTCTCCAGCTCCTCGCCCTGGACTACTACTACCTTGTCCCGCCAGCTGGTGTCTTCCCCACCTGCGATGGCGGCAGCTGCTCCTGAGTTCCAGCAGGAGCTCCTTCCCCTCCTTCCACTCCCATTGCCCTTTAAACTTCTGGCAGTTCGGGATAGTTGTAAACGCTGGAGCTGTAATAGCTGCCTCAGTTTTATATTCATTGGTTTTTACAGCCCAGAAAACACAATCATTCTGGAATTAACCCCAGAAGCTGGTCAATTTCACGCACTTCTCAATTTCATGTGTCACCCGTCTGCCAGGTGGAGTTGGCACCAACCAGGGCTGAGTTCAGTGTCTAAGGGATTCACTTGTCAACAGAAAATAGAACCCGCTCGCATCCCCACCCAGTAGTCTGGGAAATCCAGATGCCGCCCTGGGGCGTCTCTACTTCCCCTCTCACAAGCACCGTCTCTCTGTGTAACACGCTAAAACTTTCATCACAAGGGGAAAAGGAACCCAACATGAACTGGGAGAAACCTACGACCGTGGGCAAACCCCCACCCCCACAGAGCTCTGAGAGTGCCCTTTGCTCCAGCGTCTCACCTTGCAGTGTGAAAGTCCAGCATGCTTACACCACCATTCCCCTGTCCCGCCGGGTACCTCACACTCACAGCGACCCAGATCACGGGGACTTTACTGTCAGTGTGGTCTCAGTGTAACCTTTCCTTGTCCCCATGCAAGAGCAAAGACTTCGCCCCTGCACTCATTTAACACTGAGGACACATCTAGGAACCACAGACCAGGATCTTAATTAAGCCTAATCAACGTTGTCTTGAAATGAGCAAGCTGAATCGGGGTGGGCAAGATACGACCCGTGGGCTGGATCCGACCCATCAAGCCATTTCATCCGGCCCCTGGCCCATCCTGCCATGCCCCCGCTCCCAGGCCAGTCAAGCACGCAAAGTCTCCTCTCCCGCTGGGGTTCAAAACAGCTGATGGTTCCCTCTAGGTCCGCGCATTTTGGCTGGGCGCGGCAGGCGGGGGAGCAGAGATCTCGTGTGCTCCCACGCCCCCAGGCTACTCAAGACCTGCGGGGGGAGTGCATGAAGTCTCCTCCCCCACACGCAGCAACAGAGGGAACCACCAGGTCACTCTGGGTGCGGTGTGCCCCTGCCAGGCTGGCAGGGAGGGAGAGAGACCTCCCGTGCTCCCTGCCCCATGGAGGAGCACAGAAAGTCTCCATCCCGCCACACATGGTGCCTCGAGAGAAACGCCCCTTCCAGCTGAGGCCACACCCCTTCCACCTAAGGCCCTGCCCCTTCCGGGACTAGCCCGGAGGTCAGTATCTCCTACAGTGAGAGCAAAACCAAACTTCTCCTTGCACTGTCACTGAAAATGGGAAACCTCCCCCAGTTTCAGCCATCATTCTGATCACTTTAGGTTCCATCCCCCCAGCCCCTCTTTGCTAGGTTTTGGCATCCCTACCTACCCCCTGCTTAGCAAGTGAGATTAGTTTTAGGGTGACTCCTTTAATCAGGACATGCTAAGCACAGTTCTGCGGTCTTTTACTGGAACAATATGAAGAACAATATTTGCATAGTCAGAAAAGGGCAACAAAAATTAGTGGTTTGGAACGGGTCCCATATGAAGAGAGATTAAAAAGACGGGGACTTTTCAGCTTAGAAAAGAGGAGATTTAAGGGGGGATATGACAGAGGTCTAGAAAATCATGACAGGTGTGGGAAAAGTGAATAAGGAAAAGTTATTTACTTATTCCCACAACATAAGTACTAGGAAGGAGTCACCAAATGAAATGAATAGGCAGCAGGTTTAAAATAAACAAAAGGGAGGTTTTCTTCACTTAGTTCACAGTCAACCTGTGGAACTCCTGGCCGGAGGATGCAGTGAAGGCTAGAACTTTAACAGGGTTCAAAACAGAGCTAGACAGATTCATGGAGATTGGGTCCATCAATTGCCATCCAGACAGGATACTGAGCTGGATGGACCTTTGGTCAGACCCAGTGTGGCCATTCCTATTCATCACCCCAGAATTCAAATACTAAAGTGATTGGTAACCCAAATCAGCCAAAATGGATCCATTTTCACAAAGCAGCTCCATCAAGAGTAAGCCCGTTGATGCAAGCAGGCCTGCTCCTAAAGCCACCAGTTGTCAGAAGAGCTCATTCAGACCTTGCTTACCCACAGAAGGCCAGAAAGAGCAGAATTCTGCACCCTGTAACCAGGTCTGTCTTGTTCGGCTTGGCTTTCAAGGCCAACACCCTATTGGCACACGGTTTGCCGCAGGCAGTGTGTGAGTCACATTCTGAGCGTGGATACAGGTGTGGAATTCTCAGAGGAGCCATCAGGGTCCTTATCGGCAGAGCGAGGTCCGAAGAGCCTAGTCTAATGCCCACTGAAGTCAATGGACAGTCTCCCATTGACTTCAGTGGAAGTTGTCAGGTCCTAAATCAGCAGCAATTTCAGAGTGGAATCCCACTTGTAATTACTGGACATGCTGAGTGCCAACCCAGCAATGATAACGTTAGTTTAGTCCTTACAATGAAGAGTGTTGTTATATATGAGAGAGAGAAGGTGGGTGAGGTACTATCTTTTACTGGGAGAAAAAATTTTCTCCTGGGCCTCTGAGGATAGGACAAGAAGCAATGGGCTTAAACTGCAGCAAGGGAGGTTTAGTTTGGATATTACAAAAAACTTCCTTCCTGTCAGGGTGGTTAAACACAGGAATAGCTTGCCTAAGGAGGTTGTAGAATCCCTGTCTCTGGAGATATTTAAGAGTAGGTTAGATAAATGTCTATCAGGGTTGGTCTAGACTGTGCTGGGTCCTGCCATGAAGGCAGGGGACTGGACTTGATGACCTCTTGAGGACCCTTCCAATTCTAATGTTCTATGATTCTATGAAACCCTTATGATTAGTGCTTGAACTCAGACTTGAGGGGAATACTGAGAAAAAGAGACATGGCTGTTAAAACTGTAACGGGATGTCCTTGCCCGGTTGCTGATATAGTTTCTGTGTGAATGAAAGCTCCCTGTGGTCTGAGTGAGGAGTGCGTGTGTTAGGAGATAAGCAGGAAGACCATCACCAGATGTTCTAGCTAGGGCCCAGGACAGATGAAAAAGCACCAGGACGATTACAGACCCTCATCCAAACAGGAGAAGGGGGCATATTGACAGCGCTGAA